GTTCTTGTGGTCGGGTTCCCGGCTGGCTTGTCTCCCACTTCCTTTCACAGGCTGGGTGCTTGCGGTCCGGCTTGTCTCCCACTTCCTTGCATTTGTCTTCCATTTTTCCCCAAACAGTTTACTGTTAGGGGTTCTCAATTCTTCCTTAAGATGTGTCCGCCCTTTGTGTCACTGCTCGTGTTCGCCCATTTCCACTGGCCATGTAGCATTTCTGTTCATTTGTCTCCCAGGTCTGTCACTGCGTCCGCCCTTTTCCGTTGGCCATGGCGATGCAGCCACCGGCCACCGCTGAGGGCATGGAGTATACCATCCAAAGCGAGGCTAGGACCGCACCAAGGCATTCCGTCCACCTCAATCCGCCGATCGGACATCCGTTACTCAGGCATTGTGCTGCTATAATAACATTGACATATATGCCACCAACCTCTATAGTGCTCCCTTTTTGGAACAGCCAACTCACAGAGATTTATGACCAAGTCAGGCAGACATGCTTGTCCGAACCTGATGAGCCCGGTTGGTCTTAGAGTGTTCCTTGCTGGCATCTTTGCATCTCAAGCTAGTATACTCGGGCCGTGAGCGTGCAAGACAGACAAAGCAATGAACATATCGGGCACAGCAAATTTCTCAGACAAGACGCGCGCAGCTTCGATTTTGCCCACGTCATGCCAGCTGCTGATGAGCTCTCCGACAAGGATGCTGCATGCCTCATGTCCGAGGCGCTGGCTGTTGTGAAGGACAACTTTGCACCAGAGCATTTGCCAAAATGCATCCACGACTACTTGCTGCCCATTAGCGTGGCGAGTTGCCAGGGGCTCTTCTCCACCACCATGATGTTTGCCGCAGCAATGCCAGCCTTGACGAACGGCGCGTCCATACAGCTGTAGACTCTAGACACAAAAGCCTTCGCCGCTAAGCATGCTCATGTTCCACATTGCGCCCCCGCAGAAGGGTAAGAGTCGCTGGTTTCAGGCGGTCGAAATGTTGTACGAGCCTTGGCTTTCTGGATATACCTTTTCGCCCTTATGTGAGGTGTGTGGGTTGATTATAAAGCTGTGCGCAGCTTTAGCCGCAGCTGTTCTTTTTCATGTCGGTTGCGCCAGTCCAGGAAATGGCCGACGCTTGCGTTCTTACCATGGCGGAAGAGCATATGGCCACATTGGTGGCGAACGCGGAGGGGGAGTTGCGAGTGCCTTTCGCAGTCCGCGAATTTTTCTTCAGGTGTTCTACCGATTCCCACAGATGGAGTTTGGCGCCAGAAAGGAAAAGGAGGGACGGCGCCTGTGGTATGGCCAAGCGTTCAATTTAGATGAAGCCTCTGAATGGCTTAAGAACCTCTCTCTCATTGGCTGTCCAGGTGAAAAGTCTAAAGCTACGAGCATCAACCCGCACACATCTACACTCAACACTCTGATTGCGAGGGGAAAGACAAAGCGTGCCGCCAGGACATCTACATCGTATGAAGGCAAGGCTTCCCAGCACGTCAGCTTCTCCGTCTTGGGCAATGGACACCCACCCAGAATCATTGCTATGGAAAGGAACCTGGAAGGCCAGCATACGGCTGCAACCCGTGAACGCTTCATGATGTGCGTCAACTCGTCTGTGGCACGGCGTGATGCCTTGCCAGAGAGCATGTTGGTGGCTGACCCAGATTTGCTCGCATTTACATGGCTTCCCCTGACTACCTTGCAAGCTGCCATTTTCAAGCGGGAAGGCGTTGTCAACAACCCGGAATACTTCGCCAACTCCGTGGCTGAATCGCAGGATGCTGACCAAGAAGGCTACCCCATCGCCTTTCCCGATGGGGTCCCTTCACGGATTCGCTACAAGGTGCAAACCGATGACAGAGGTGCCTTGGCTTGGATCTTGACATGTTGTGGCGGAGAAGTCTATATAGTGCTATATTGGGCTGGCGAACAAAAAATGTCAAGACGGTCCCCCGCTGCTTTCCCCCATAAGGGTGCAACCTATATAACTTTCAAGCTTTTTGTTGTTGGCGCCCAGGACAAAACCTGGGAATGCAGACTGAGTTCCGTATTTCGGGCCGATGGCATATGAAGGATCCCACTGACCGCATCCAGTTGGGGGCAAAAAGGGTCACCGAGCATTTCCGGTCTCGGCCGCACTCGGTGCTTGCAATGGAAGAGGTTGCCCGTAAACTCTTGCTCGGCTGCTCCGATTGGTTTGGTTCCTCTTTGCGCTTGCGCAGTTTCTTTTTCCCTGCAAGACCACCACCAGATGAACCCATGCGCAGCGCGGAGTTTTTTGGGGGGTGAAGTTGCGCACTCAAGGTCAGGCGGCGCAAAATGTGCGAGCATCCACAGTTGGAGGCGCTGCATGCTGGGGCTGCAGCGCATCATGGACAAATGTCTGCCGCCATTGCTGCGCTGGCGCTGGCCAGTGGCTCTGGCTCTTTCGATGCTGCTGGCAACCTTATGGTGACTGCTGAGCATGCGCAGGCGCAATTGGCTGGTTTGCGTCTGTTCAGCGTCTGGTGCGCAGGTTTATTAATTGCTCAGTGTTTTCACTTCAGGTGGCCAGTCGGCTGGTCGAGCTCAACCTTCAGATTCGGCGCGCTTTCCGCGGCCCCTTGCCACCTTCTGGGGAGAGGCCAGCTGATAGCGACAGTGATCCAGAATGCATTGCCAAGCCAGTGCACGGTTTTGGTTCCTTTGCCGCGCCTGCTGCTACCCAGCCATGTCCAGCCCTTCACACAGACGAGGCGAGCGTGCCCGTCGCAGAGGCAGCGGTTGAAGAGCCCGACCATCAACCTGTACCTGTCCCTTTGGCGGAAACGGAGCCTGAAGATGAGCGTGCAGAAGATGTTTCGGAGGCGGCTTTGACGTTTGACCAACTCTTGCCAGAAGAACAGTTCTTCCAACGAGGCCTGGGTGAAGGAGACGCGATGATCTTTGATGATAGCAAGTTCAAAGACCAAGCCCTCCTCCGGAAAGTTTTGTTGAGCGGGCAGAGCGAGCTCAAGCTCAGTCGTGTTGTCGACCTGTACCACCATGGTTGACTCAACCGATGCCAAACGTCGGAAAGTCCGACCTAGGCTCGCCCAGGCCGGGGGGTATAGTGTCCATGTTGCGCGTGCGTTCAGCTTTTGCTGCCTTTCCTTGCCCTGTGGCAGGTGAAGGAAGT